AATAAATAACCCAATCAACAAATGGGCCAAGGACCTGAACAGACACTTTTCAAGAAGAGGATATACAATCAATCAACAAATATATGAAAAAATGCTCATCATCTCTAGCAATCAGAGAAATGCAAAAACTACTCTAAGATATCATCTCACTCCAGTCAGAATGGTAGCTATTATGAAGACAAACAACAACAAGTGTTGGCAAGGATATGGGGAAAAAGGTACACTCATACATTGCTGGTGGGACTGCAAACTGGTACAACCAATTTGGAAAGCAGTATGGAGATTCCTTGGAAATCTGGGAATGGAACCACCATTTGACCCCAGCTATTCCTCTCCTCGGACTATACCCAAAGGACTTAAAAACAGCATACTTCAGGGACACAGCCACATCAATGTTTACAGCAGCACAGTTCACAACAGCTAAACTATGGAACCAACCTAGATATCCTTCAGTGGATGAATGGATAAAAAAAAAAAAAGTATATGTATCACACACATACACACACAATGGCATATATACACAATAGAATTTTACTCAGCATTAAAAAAGAACAAAATCATGGCATTTGCAGGTAAATGGATGGCATTGGAGAAGATAATGCTAAGTGAAGTTAGACAATCTCAAAAAAAATGCAGAAATGTTTTCTATGATATAAGGAGGTTGACTCATAGTGGGGTAGGGAGGGAGAGCATGGGAGGATTCAATGAATTGGGGTAGGAGGGAAAGGGAGGGGGCAGGGGATTAGCAAGGATGGTGGAATGTGATGGACATCATTATGTAAAGTACATGTATGAAGGCTTGAATTGGGTATCAACATACTTTACATACAAAACAAAGATATGAAAAATTGTGATATATATGTGTATTAAGAATTGTAATGCAAAAAAACCAAAATACATGTATAAAGGCATAAATTGGCGTGAACATACTTTATATACAGAGATATGAAAAACTGTACTCTATATGTGTAATAAGAATTGTAATGCATTCCACTGCTGTCGTGTATTAAAAAAAAATAAAATCAATAAAAGAAAAAAAAAGACCTTTATTGGGAACAAAAAGAAGGAAAATAAATGACTTAAATAACTGATTCAAAGTTATAAAAAAAAGCAATAAAGTGAAATGAAAGAAAACAAAATTTAAAAAATCAATATAGATAAAATAGAAATCAATCACTGGGAGAAAAAGTAAAAAAAAAGTTAAACATCTAGTTAACTTAATTAAGTAAAAAGGGAGAAAATTCAAATATGTAAAATGGCAAGAAACAGAAACAGAGGAAATAAAAGGGATCACTAAGATAACTTTGTTCAAACTTTTATTGATATGTAAATATGATAAACCCCCATGAACCACATACAAATTTAATACAAAATACAATTAACCCTTTGAAGAACATATAAGTCTAATGATCTGAAACTGTTCCAGATAGTTTTATATATATATATAAAACACGTGTGTGTGTGTGTGTGTGTGTGTGTGTGTGTGTACTGGAAATTGAAGCAGCTAGGGATGCTTAAATACTGAGCCACATCCCCAGTCCTTTTTATTTTTTATTTTGAGACAGGAGCTGGCTAAGTTGCTTAGGATCTCACTAAATTGGTTAGGCTGGTCTCTTACTTTCAATCCTTATGACTCAGCCTCCCAAGTCACTGGGATTACTTACAGGCATGAGCCACCATGTCCAGACCAGAGCAATTTTWAAAAAAATAAATTTGCAGGCAGAGCGCTACAAACCAACCCTTTTTACAGTGATACAAGATTCTAAATCAAATTTTAAATAGATCCTGACAGTACATTAAAATATAATGTATCATGAAGGCTAGAGTTGTGGCTCCATGGTAGAGCACTTGCCTGGCATGCATGAGGTCCTGGTTCAATCCTCAGTGCCACATATAAATAAATAAATAATAAAAAAGATTCAATGACAACTAAAACATATTTTTTAAAAAAGATAATGCATCATAATAAAGTGAAGACTGTTCTACAAGTTTAAGGAAGACTTGTTATTAGGAAATTAAGGGGAGAAGTTATATGATCCTCTCCATAGATACTGTAATTTGAAAAAATTCAAGAAACATTCCTCAAGAACCCAGGGTCTTCTGCATTCTAGAGGCCACACTCTACCAATAGAGCTATATCCCCACTCTAATAATCATATTTTTAAAACGTCAAATAAATTAGTATATAAGTGCTTCCTTAACATAATAAAATGTAGCTCTCAGCACAGAGGCAGGGCTAGGGGGTATAGCTCAATGGCAAAGTACTTGCATGCATGACGCCCTGAGTTCATTCCCTAGCACCACCATCAGTCCAGAACCCCCCCCAAAAAAAAAAAACACTTTTCATTCATCAAATTAGCAAAAATCCAAAAATTTGATAATGTATTGTCTTGGCAAGGTTATGAAGAAAACAGGCACTCTCGTTTAATTGTTGGTGGTAGTGCAAATCGGTGTTAATGCCAGTAATTAGGTAATATATATATCAAAACATCAATTACAGGGGCTTGGGTTGTGGCTCAGCAATAGAGCACTTGCCTCACATGTTCGAGACCCTGGGTTCGATCCTCAGCACCACATAAAAATAAATGAATAAAATAAGGGATTTGTGTCCAACTACAACTAAAAAAATAAATAAATAAAAATAAAAAATAAAGATATTGTGTCCAACTATAACTAAAAAACATTTTTAAAAAAATATCAATTACATATACCACTAACAAAACGATTCCACTGTTAGATAATGATCTGACAGATACACCTGTCAAAAACAAAAGGACAGGGTTGGGGTTGTGGCTCAGTGGTAGAGCGCTCTGCCTAGTGAGGCCCTAGGTTCGATCCTCAGCACCACATATAAATAAATAAATAGATAAATAGAATAAAGCTACTTATTGTGTCCAACTACAACTAAAAAATAAATATTAAAAAAATGGTACAAGGTATTCACTCCATACTGTTTTCATCCAGATGCCCACCAATAGGTACTGATCAAATCCACAAAAATGAAATGTAATAAACAGAAAAGAAAAAAAAAGAAATGCAGTGAGCAAGAATAAGGATGCTGTCTGTGCTGCTATGTGGAAAGATCCCCAAGATATATTGTTGGGAGGAAAAAAAAAACAAGGAGTAAATCATTCAATACAATATGCTATTTTTTGTGAGAAAATAATATTCTACAGGTTAATTACTGAAACTAAAGAGAATTTGGAGCTTCCTGAATTCTGCAGTAGCTAAAACTTGCAGAAATATTGTTATATACCAGGCACTGTTCTAAGCACTTTGCATTATTAATTCAATTAATCCCCTCAAAACCACCATGAAATAGGTTCTATTACCTCCATTTACAAAAGAGGAACTAAAGCACAGAGATGTTAAGTAACTTGCTTAAGACTATACATACAGCCAGAGTGTGCCCAGGCAATCAGATTCTAAAAGCAGGACTCTTCACTACCACACCACACTACATAACCTACTTGAATATTTGGTAAAAGCATACTCTCAGCTCCCGAGAGACTGATGATTTCATTCATTCATTCAATAAATATTTAAGTATGCAATACATGCCAGGTACCATTCTCAATGCTAAAGATACAATGATGATAAAAATACAGACACAGTCCCACCTTTTATGGAGTATAGTAAGAACTTGGGCTTAAAGCACACGATTCTTAAATTGAAGTATTTATCCCCTTATTTATATATTTATCCAAATACTTACATGGGGACAGGGTGGTGGGGAGTCACCAGTTGCAAAGTGACCAGTTCTGCTTTAACTAGCTAGAGCAGTGGTTCCCAACTTTTTGGCACTTGAGAATCACCAAGGATCCTTTTAAAATTCCAATGCCCACGTCAATTCCATACATCTAGGGCAATTAAATCACAATCTGGGCAGTGGGGACAGAGACAAAGACATCAGTAGTTTTCCAAGAACCCTGTGGATGACTGCAATATGAAGAAAAGTTTGAGAAATCACTGAGCTATAGTTTTTAATCTGTCTGAATAACGGTAAAGGTCATTCATGATAACATGGAAAGAGATAGCTGAATATAAACAAAAAGTATATCCACTTGTCCTTCTGAGATCTGCTAAGTAGCTACCCCTCCACCTCATGTTATAAATTCTGAGAACATCAGAAAGGGCCAAATAATTATTTTCTTTTCTAGTTTTATCTATACCTCTACTCCATTCCTTCCAAAATCATGGACAACTGAGAAATTTACCTTTTTATCTTTTTCTGGTTCCTTCTATGGAACCAATGAAGAATTCTGCCATGTTATACCTATTCAACACAACTGACTGCTTTTCTATTAAGCAGATCTCGTTTAGTTGGTTTGGATCCAACCCACATGCTACCTATAGCTTGGCAAAGTAAAGTACCCTATGAATGCTGAGATCAAAATAAATTCTTTTTAAAAAGTCTAATTCAAAACTTTAAGTTGAAACAAAGTCTTTTTAAAATAATGCATTCCTTTGTATTCTAGAGAAGCAACAGACCTGTTTAAGAACTCTCTGACCACTCTCAGAAAAGATAGTCAGTAGGACCCCTCTCCATTCCTCCCAGGACCTAGACAAAAAGGAAAAAGGGCAAAGAGGAAGAAGAGAAACGTCAGAAGAAAAGACCAAACATAAACCCAATAAATCTATTTAAAGTAAATTTTTGTAACTGGCCAAATTCCATCTGTCACTGTTTCTTATAATTTTATTCTAGAAAGTGCTGTAAAAGACCCAAGATGATCTCTAGTCCAGTGGTTTTTAACAAAGAAAGCTTATTATAATCCCAAATAAAACAAGATATTTTCAAAATACTTCTGTATTGGTTACAAAGTATGTTCATTTTGTAATTCATTATCCTTATGATTTGTGCACTTGTCTTTATGTGTGTTATACTTTACAATTAATACTTTAAAAAAAACCAGAAAAAAACAGATACAGTGCATGTGTCTTGGGCAGAAACCCCTACAGATTCTAATTAAGTAGGTACAGAAACAGAGTCCCACGAAAGTTTTGTGATTTGGCCTAGCTCACAGATGTTTAGCTACAGATCTGTACTTCTTGTCACTGTCCTTCTGCTTCAAAACTGTAAATATGCTGACATCATATTTTTAATTTAACATTTTTCTCCTACTTATCTGAAAAATTATATTACAAGTGACAACTGCAAAAACAAGGTAGTAAATTAATGAAAAACACAGATTTCCCAAGTTATCACAGCTGTTTCACCATACACTTAAGAGAATTAAACATCTAATGCAATGCAACTATTTTCTAACCTGGGTACCCATTTTTTTTTTTTGATGCTCTCAATAATCTGTTGAGTAATATGTCAAATTATTAGTAGTAAAATCAACTAGGTACATATGCAAAATATACTAGCATTATTCATGATAATGAAACATAAGGTGAATTAGAAAGAGGGCTAGGCTGAGCATGGCAAGGTAGGTGTGCCCTGGGATCTAATTGTGGCCTTCCTTAAAGTTGTATTATTTGGTTGTACAATCACTATGGAAAGCAATATGGAGATTTCTCAGAAAACCCGGAATGGAACCAGCATTTGACCCAGTCATCCCACTTGTAGRTTTATACCCAAAGGACTTAAAATCAGCATACTACAGTGACAAAGCCACATCAAGGTTTATAGCAGTTCAATTCACATTAGCTAAACTATGGAAACAACCTAAGTGTCCTTGAATAGATGGAACCAAAGGCTGAATGTTTTCTCTGATATGTGGATGCTAATTCACAATAAGGGAGGGGGGAAAATAGAGGTATTTTGGACTAGACAGAGGGGAGTGAAGGGAAGGGAGGGGACATGAAGGTAGGAATGATAGCAGAATGAACCAGACATTATTACCTTATGTGCACGTATGATTATATAACCTGTGTAACTCTACATCATGTACAACCAGATGAATAAGAAGTTATATTTCATTATGTATGCTGCATCAAAAAACATTCTACTGTCATGTACAACTAATTAGAACAAATAAAAAATATTAAAAATTTTTTAAAATAAAACAAAAAAAGTTGAATAATTTAGGGCAGGACACAATCCGAGTCTAGGAATCTTAAATTTGAAATTGAAAAGACAGTTCACCAGAGCTAGAGCTAAATAGAATCTCTCCATTTAGATATAAAAAAGCTTAAGGATTATTTATCAAGAAATTTAATTATTCTTCAGTCCCAGTGGGAATAAGAACTGTGACAACCTTTGAGAAAATCAAACTGGAAGTTCATAATGAAACTAAAATAAACTGAACTTTTAACCTACATTTGGGGCTTATCCTACAGAAGTAAAAGCTCCATTTCATAAAACTATATGCACAAGAATGGCTACTGAGGCCTAGTGTGGTAGCCCATGTCCATAACTTCAGCTACTCGAGAGACTAAGGCAGGAGGATCACAAGTTTGAGAACAGCCTGGGAAACTTAGCATGATCCTATCTCAAAATAAAGTTTAAGGGCTGGGGGTGTGGCTCAAGCCGTAGTGCGCTCGACTGGCATGTGCAGGGCGCTGGGGTCGATCCTCAGCACCACATACAAATAAAATAAAGATGTTGTGTCCACCGATAACTAAAAAATAAATAAGAAACATTAAAAAAATAAAGTTTAAAAAAGGGCTGTGGGCATGACTCATTGCTTGCCCAGTATGTGGAGGTTTAAAAAAAAATCTGAAAACACACTGAGCAAAAAAACAATATAAATGGAATATTATGTAGCTAGTAAAAAGGGGGAACTAGATATTTCCTTAATGATTTAGAAGGAAATGTATAATTCAGCTTGTTGCAATAAACATATACTGTGTTTGTGGTTTGAAAGGAAAATCCTATTTAATTCATAACATAAAAGAAATAATAAGAAAAATTGATTACAGGAATAACAGAAAAAATAGTTATATAAAATTGATAAAGAATTGTTCTATAAACGACAGCTAAATGAAATATTCAGAGATTAAGGAATAAAAACAAAATCTAGTTGGGTGCGGTGGTACATGTCTGTAATTCCAGCGGCTCAGGAGGCTGAGGCAAGAGGGTCGAAAATTCAGAGCCAACCTCAGCAACAGTGAGGCACTAAGCAACTCAGTGAGACCTTGTCTCTAAATTAAAAACAAAACAGGGTTGGGGATGTGGTTCAGTGGTTGAGTGCCCCTGAGTTCAATCCCTGTTCCCCCACTTCCAAAACAAACAAACAAACAACATCAAAAAACCCCCAAAGTCTAGGTACTTTTTGGGTGGGGGTGTAAAGCAACTTTTATCAACTCAAAATTTTTCCCCTATTTCACAAAGAAAAATAAGTGTTTTACTCAAGAGTTCTGTATTTTTTAGGTTTGTCTTCTTAAAATGCTCTTTTAAAAAAGCAAACACAAATCACCACAAAATCCTGTCAAATAAATGTCTGTTATTTTATTGTTGCAATCTGTAATTCTTTCTTTTTCTTGGTTAAGTTTTATTTGTTTTTAGCTATATCCTAACACTTCAAATTTATCTTTTATAACAATGTACCATTCTTTTTATTATTCATTTATTATTTATTTTTTTTAGTTGTAGATGGATACAATACCTTTATTTACTTATTTTTACGTGGTGCTTAGGATCAAATCCAGTGCCTCACATGTGCCAGACAGCCCCAACAACACTCCATTCTTTGTTACATCAAATAAAATTTTACATGCATAGTACAAACATAAAAGGAAAACATTTATACTGAATAAGTAGTCAAATGATATGAAAAATAAGTGCTAGTAGATGAGCTATACTGAACATTATTACTTGAAAATTGATCACCACTGATAAAATTTCTAAAAACTTATTTGCTAGTAACAAAAAAAAAAAAAAAGCAACTTTACAATGATTACCACCTTAACCCTATGATCAAACTTATCAATAACAATGGAACAGATGGGCTGGGATTGTGACTTAGTGGTAGAGCACTTGCCTGGCACATATGCACTGGGTTCAATCCTCAGCACTGTATAAAATATAAATAAATTATAATTTAAAAAGTAAACAGATTAAACTCACCTTTTTAAAATAAAAAACAGTGGGATATTTACATACTTCATGATATGATGCAAAGTAAAGAATATTTGTCAAAATATGTAACCAAAATCTAAATCAAGTCTTCAGAATGTAATGCATAAGCTTCTAACCTTCCAGCTTAGGAAAATACAAGGAATAAAGGAACAAGTTAAAGGTAGCAAAGAAAAAAAAATCAGGTAAATCCAGAGTATGGGACATTCAACAAGAAAACTACTGCTCCGATGTCAACAATGCCATGGAAAAAAGTGGGAGAAGACACAGACAGGATATAGGAAGCATTCTACGTAAAATAATAATTTTTTAAAAGATTATAGATATGTAGCTCAGTGGTACAGTGCTTAACCTAGCATGTACAAGGTTCTGGGTTTGATCCCCAGCCCCACAAACAACAATAACAAAAGACTACGGGTATAACAATAGACAAATGCAATGCATGGGCCCTTAATTTTATTCCATTTCAAACAAGTCTCCAAAATAGCTTTTCTGGAGAAACTTAAACATAGATTTAATGTTAGATAGTATCAAGGAATTACTTAATTACAGACTTTTAAAAAAATTTTTTTTAATATTTATTTATTTTTTTTAGTTTTCAGTGGACACAACATCTTTGTTTGTATGTGGTGCTAAGGATCAAACCGGGCCACACGCATGCCAGGTGAGCGTGCTACCGCTTGAGCCACATCCCCAGCCCTTAATTACAGACTTAATGTTAGATAATATTAAGAAATTATACCTAATTTCATTAGGTGTAAAATTGCATTTTGATCATATAGGAGAATGTCCTTATTTGTAAGATATGTGAGGCTAAAGTATTTAAAGGCTTGGTATCACGATGTCTTTATTTTTATAAGGTTTAACATAATATATTATTAAGCATATGGCAACATGTTGGATATAGGTGGTAGGTATTATTTCTGGTATTTCTGGTGGGTTTTTTTATATGTTTGAAATTTTTTATGATAAAACATTTAAATATTTTTTTAAAACCCACAAAACTGTGAGGTATCACTAGAATACTAGAAGAAAAAAATTTATAAAATACAACATTAACTAGTAGCTAGTGGTGAGAAAAATTGGTGGCCATTCTAAAGAATAATCTGGTAATATGGTTGGTTAAAAAATTATATCCTTGGGATGCAGCTCAGTGGCTTAGTGCTTGCTTATTTGTGTGAGGCACTGGGTTTGATCCTCAGCACCACATAAAAATAAATAAAATAAAATAAAGGCATAGTGTCCATCTACAACTACAAAAAAAATTTTTTTTTAAATGATATCCTCGGGCTGGGGATATGGCTCAAGTAGTAGCACGCTCGCCTGGCATGCATGAGGCACTGGGTTCGATCCTCAGCACCACATTAAAATAAAGCTATTGTGTCCACCTAAAGCTAAAAAAAAAATTAATTAAAAAAAAAAGATATCTTTAACCCTGATTAAATAAATCACTTCAGGGATATATTCTAAGAAAAAATAGGGGGGAAGTTTTATAAAAAGATGTTATAACAGTATAATTGATAATTACAAAACAAAAA